TAAGAAGTTTCCTGAATACAATCAAACACTTTGAGGGACAGAGTAGCAGGGGTGGGGGTCTGGGGACCATGGTTTCACAGGACATCTAGGTCAACTGGCAAAACAAAGTTAAGAAAATGTTCTGCATTCCACTTTGGTGAGTGGCATCTGGGGTCTTAAAGCCAGCAAGCGGCCATCTAAGATGCATCAATTGGTCCCAACCCACGTGGAGCAAAGCAGAATGAAGAACACCAAAGACACAAGGAAAATATTAGCTCAAGAGACAGAAGAGGCCACATAAACCAGAGACTTCATCAGCCTGAGACCAGAAGAACTAGATGGTGCCCGGCTACCACCAATGACCGCCTTGACAGGGAACATAATAGAGAGTCCCTGAAAGAGGAGGAGAAAAGTAGGGTGCAGAACTCAAATTCTAGTAAAAAGACCAGACTTAATGGTCTGACTGAAACTGGAGGGACTCCAGAAGACATGGCCCCAGATTCTCCGTTAGCCCAGAACTGAAACCATTCCCGAAGTCAACTCTTCAGACAAAGATTAGACTGGACTGTTAAGACATGAAATGATACTCGTGAAGAGAGTGCTTCTTAACTCAAGTAGATACATGAGACTAAATGGGCAGCTCCTGTCCGGAGGTAAGATGAGAAGGCAAAAAGGAATAAGAGCTGGTTGAACGGACATTGGAAATTTGGGGTGGGAAGGAGGAGTGTGCTGTCACGTTATAGGGAGAGCAACTAGGGTCATTTAACGTGTGTTTAAATTTTTGTATGAGAAATTAACTTGGACTGTAAACTATCACTGAAAGCACAATTAAAAAAAAAGACTTTAAAGCAGTCCTGAGACCAAAGGCTTGAGAACCACTACTCTAAAATTATGTAAGATGGCTGAAAACTGATGCTCACATTTAGTCTCCCAGGAGAACCCATGTAAATGACTGAAATGGTGAAGGTATCAAGACAATAACTGGCTGATTTTGAACAAATGAAAAGTAATTTTTCAGTATGTTGCCACTTCAGTAAAAGTAGAATTGTAGCAAACTTTTTTTTTTTTAATTGTACTTCAGGTGAAGGCTTACAGAACAAATAGTTTCTCATGAAAACAGTAGTACACATATTGTTTCATGACATTGGTTAACAACCCCACAACATTTCAACCCTCTCCCTTCTCGACCCTTTTTTTTTTTTTGGTGAAAATATATATAGCGAAAGATACACCATTTCAAAAATTTCTACATGCACAGTTCAGTGACATCGACTACGCTCTTCCAATTGTGCTGCTATTCTCACGTTAGATGAAGGCTTACAGAACAAAATAGTTTCTCATTTAACAGTTAGTACACATGTTGCCCTATGACAATGGTTAACAACCTCACAACACATCAGCACTATCCTTACTCAACCTTGGGTTCCGTATCACCAGCTTTCCTGTCCCCTTCTGCCTTCTGGCCCTTGTCCCTGGACTGCTGTGCCTTATTAGTCCCATTTGGTTTTATGGGGCTGTCCACTCCCCGGCTGAACGGTGAACCTCGGAAATGACTTCACCACTGAGCTAAAAGGGTGTCTGAGGGCCATACTCTTAGGGTTTCTCCAGTCTCCTTTAGGCCAGTAAATCTGGTCTTTTTTTTGTGTGAGTTAGAATTTTGTTCTACATTCTTCTCCAGCTCTGTCCAGAACCCTCTGTTGTGATCCTGGTCAGAGTAGTCAGTGGTAGTAGCCGGGCACCATCTAGCTGTACTGGACTCAAGTCTGGTGGAGGCCTTGGTAGCTGTGGTCCATTAGTCCTTTGGACTAATCTTTTCCTTGTATCTTGTTCTCTTCATTCTCCCTTGCTCCCCAAGCGATAAGACCAGTGGAGTATCTTACATGGCTATTCACAGGCTTTTAAGACCCAAGACGGAATTGTAGCAAACCTTAATTCATCTTTATTTGTTGTTGTGGGCCACATATTCACATACCCGTTACATGAGTTGCTATAGCTAAGGTCACTATCAAGGCTTGGTTCAGTTCTTCAGATTCCACTGACAACACCGTTTCGGGATCGCTGAGGAAGCGTGTAAACTGTGGCTGTACCTCTGAGCTACCTAATGCTGTTATAAGCCTGAGTACAGTGCTCTCAACACTGAAAGGTGGAAGAACAAAAGAAACGTGAAAAAGTTAAGCTGCACATAAAATTTCAGCATTATAGAATTAAATTCAATTCCAGATTAACCACAATGTAAAAAAATGCAAACTATAATTTCCACCTTCATCAATTTAAAAAAAAAAAAATTCTTCTTTTGTATCAGAATGAAATTTGGTGACTTGCTTTAAAAACCTGAGGTGTCAAATATTATATTGAGAGCTGACATTTTTATACATTTGAAAAAGATAACTTGTAGCCTGCAGGACTCAAAATTTTCACCTGGATATATAGCATTTCAAAAACTTAATTTTTCTATCTGAAATATATTTTTACTTAGAGTATAATTAAAATGAGAGGATACTTAATCATAATCTGAAGTATACTGAAATCTAGCAGCATGGTAAAGGGTAAAATTAGAATATAACGACAAAGGCCTTGGAAGTACTAATTCTCAGTCCAAAGATCTTGAGGCAAGGACTCAACTATCTCAATGTTTCTATTTAAAAAACTGGAATCCATTTCTTCTTTACTAGGGAAAAAAAAAAAAAAGAAAGAATAACTCCAGAAACAGAAGAGTTTGTATGACAAATCAAGAAGAAAATTATATGAGGTAAATGATTAAGTTCCTCAATGCCAACAATGTTTCTAATAAATTTTAAGGAGAGACAGTTTCCAATGGACTTACCAAAGGTGAAGCTGGTTCTGGTTGGTTTGTGCAACTGCAGCCAAAGTATGAAGATGACTCAGGAGCTGAACTCTGTAATGAGGCTGAATGTGGTGCATCCAGTAGCTAAACATCTCAAGAAGTGTATGTAAGATCCCCCACGCATGAGACTTGAAAACAGCTCGCAAAAGCTGACCTTGAGAAAAGATTAGTCCGAAGGACTAATGGACCACAGCTACCAAGGACTCCACTGGACTGAGTCCAGTACAGCTAAATGGTGCCTGGCTACCACCACTGACTGCTCTGACCAGGATCACAACAGAGGGTTCTGGACAGAGCTGGAGAAGGATGTAGAGCATAATTATAACTCACAAAGACCAGATTTACTGGCCTAAAGGAGAGTGGAGAAACCTCGAGAGTATGGCCCCCAGACACCCTTTTAGCTCAGTGGTGAAGTTACCTCCGAGGTTCACTGTTCAGCCTGGGAGTGGACAGCCCCGTAACACCAAATGAGACTAACGAGGTACAGGAGTCCAGTGACAAGGGCCAGAAGGCAGAAGGGGACAAGGAAGCTGTGATAGGGAACCCAAGGTTGAGTAAGGATATTGTTGATGTGTTGTGAGGTTGTTAACCATTGTCATAGGGCAACATGTGTACTAACTGTTAAATGAGAAACTATTTTGTTCTGTAAGCCTTCATCTAAAGTGAGAACAGCAGCACAACTGGAAGAGCGTAGTCAATGTCACTGAACTGTGTATGTAGAAATTTTTGAAACGGTGTATCGTTGGCTATGTGTATTTTCACCAAAAAAAAAAAAGGTTGAGAAGTTAGAGGGTTAATATGTTGTAGGGTTAACCAATGTCATAAAACAACATGTGTACTACTGTTTCATGAGAAACTATTTGTTCTATAAGCCTTCACCTGAAGTACAATAAAATATAAAAAAAAAAAAAAGTGAGAATAGCAGTACAACTGGAAGAGCGTAGTCAATGTCACTGAACTGTGCGTGCAGAAATTTTTGAAATGGTGTATCTTTGGCTATGTATATTTTCACCAAAAAAAAAAAAAAGTTCGAGAAGGGAGAGGGTTGACATGTTGTGGGGTTGTTAACCAATGTCATAAAATATGTGTACTACTGTTTCATGAGAACCTATTTGTTCTGTAAGCCTTCACCTGAAGTACAATAAAAAAATAAAATAAAATAAAAAAATAGAAAAAAAAAAAAGCTGACCTTGAGGAACAAGATAATTTGAAATTTAAAAGCTCTGCATTAAAAGACATTTGAAAAAAAGTCACAGAGTAAAATGTATGCAGAGATTTAACCGTGAAATATACTCTCCATAATTTCTACTTCACATATAAGAAAAAAATACAGATCCTAATTAGAATACCAAGTTTGCTTTTTGTTTTTTCCTGAAATTTGACAAAATAATACTCAAGTTCATCCAGAAAAATAAAACAAGAGGTGCGATATAGAAAGAATTGCTCCACCTTTCCTCACTTCTCAGTTACCTTTTATATTATTGTTATAAAGTGAATGCTCCCAACTGTCTGAAGCATGCAGATCCCTTTTTAACATAAAAAAGCTGCATCACACCTGCCCTTGCTCCCTCCTCCCTTCCCAGAAAGTTATATGCAACTTTGAATTATCTGGGAGAAAGAGTAACTGTGGTTAAAGTTAAAATTATACTGTATTAGTGAAAAGTTAAGAGTTACCATGAATCAGAAAAACATTTGCATGTTAGAAATTATCTGTTGTTTAAAACTGCGTAACACCCAGCAGACATTATAATGTGTCTTCTGCAGTGCAGACATACTCCTTCCTTACTGCCAGTCCCAGCAGAGGAGAGCACTGCTGCCCTGGGGCGAACCAGCAGTAGATACACAGCAGAGGAGGCAAATGGATCATGGATTCTTACATGAGGACAGAAACCATGTCTATTCTGCTCACTGCATCCTCAAAACCTAGCTCCGTGCCCTTTTCTTACCACTCAAGAAACTCACTCCCTTGACTCTCACACTTCCTATTGCTCTTTTTTGCTTTAGTTTTTCTATAACACTTATCACCTTCTGACAAACTACATATTTCACTTATTTACTTTGTTTATTGCCTGTCCTCCTGATTAGCATGTAAGCTCCATGATAGCAGTGATCAGACAAGTATATGCTGAATTAACGAACGAGTTAATAGTTATAAGCACCAGAAAATTTGTCTTACTGATAAATCCTTTGATGCCCAAAGATTCTATTTCCATATAGACTAATAAACGACTGTGAATTTCTACTAGTACTGGAGCCAAGGTCACACTGGACTTCGCAGGAGCAAGTTTTATCACCCTGGTTACAATGCTGTGAATAAGGCTGAGGAGAAATATAAGGGGAGAAAATAAAAATTCATGTTTTGGGTATAAATACAGGCGTTACCTCTACTTATGGGTAACTTATTCAGTATAAATCTAAATTTAAATGGTTAAAATGAAGCTGATGCACTTAACATATTTAAATTGTGCAGTAAACTTACTAGTGATACACTGTACAACCTGAGACTACCGTATTTTTTCAAATAACGCCCCCATGTAAATAATACACCCACACATACAATGCACACAGTGTCTAGGAAAATAATGTGCAATGGGGTTGCGAGGTTGGCAAAACACATATAACACACACGTTATTTTCATAAAAATACAATAACTCTGGTTTTTATGGGACTTTAAATGTGCACCAGGATCTGTCTGCTCATGGAAGAACAAAATGTGAGTACAACTCATACACATACTTGAGTGATTTTAGTCTGTTTTTCTTTTTCATATATGGAACTACAACCATTTGCGATATTAAAAAACTTAAGTCATAGAATTACTTAAATCATTGCAAAGACCTAAATGTTAGGTTCCAGCATGGCTTTCCTCAGATATGTCATGCATGCAAGTAAAGCACATGTATAATTCTATCAGTGTTTACTATTTGAAAAGGAGTGTGGCTTTTCTAGAACTGATGTCCCACCTGGAGGCCCACAGATGCAGTCTCTTTGTCCCACATGGTGTTTTTAAGTTTGAGCCATATTTAAAAGCTGAAAGATTAGAAATAAAAAATTTGGATTTCCAGCCCTTCTTGAAAAAAGTCAGAGAATCTAGCTATACTAGTCCACATTCCTATATTACAGAAATGAGCTAAAGTGGCAGCATCAGAATATGAGCTCTGCATGCCCCAGCCGACCTCAGTTCTCTCCATACACACGTGCTTCTGTGGGCACATACACCTGGACCCTCAGTCAGCACCAGGCTTTGTTAATTAACATCACCAGTCTGGTCCCTAGGCACTTGAGGTTCTAGACTCACACTCAACAGAGCCTTTTCTGTCTTTTAGAAACCACAGCATTCAAATCTAAAAGCCTTCCATGTGTTACAGTATTGCAGCGTAAGTCCATGTTTGTCAAAAAAAAAAAAAAAGCATATATTCATATACTTACACAAAGGAAAAGACATTGAGAATATACACAAAAATTTTATAATCTTTCTCATGGAGGGATTATGGCAACTATCATTTTCTTTCGGTTTATTTATATATTCTACAATTCCTACAATATTCATTTTTATAACAAATTAAATGTAATTATTTCAAAAATGCACCTAGCCATAAAATATACACATGAAAGGAAATCAAGGTCTATATCAACAGCAATTTCTTGACATGAGACCAAATAAATAAAAAGCACATACCTCATTTTGGCATTAACTGTCAGTGAATCCAGAAGGTTCACTGGTAAGGGAGTAATACATCCTGAATCCACACAGCTCATTCCAGGGAGAGGTATCCTCATAATTCCATTTCCATAAATAGTTTCTACCAGACCTCCCATGGGTAATGTAAAACATTCTGAATTTGTAGAATACGCATTACACAACAGGGCAATCTTATAGTCATTCATCTGTAAACTTTTATTTCTCAGACTGTGTTGTAGGAACCTAAAAATTCTAGTTCATTAAACAGAAAAAATACAAATTATTTTCCATAAAGTTAACTTGCATTTTTTTTTTAAAGTATAAATTTATGTTAATACTGTCTTTATTCTTACAGGCATTATAGTTTCTGCCCAAAATGTAAAGTGGAAACACATACACAAATTTGGGTAGCATTTCAGAACAAAGTTAATACAAGTTAACAATAATGAGTCATTTGGTAAGTATGTACTATATATGCAGCATTGTATTAGGCTACTGTTCAGAGAATGAAGAAATAATTCACAAATTCATGAACCAGATTTTTGTTTATTATCTGTCTACTTAAGCACAACAATATGCCTTGATTATAGATGTCACTATGAAAGGATAATCATAAGTGGGTGTCTCCTATAATGAAGGCCAAATGAAATGTGAAGTTATCATTTTCCCTGGGTTTTTCTGAATATTCTATAATGCCTAACACAAACACTATTCCTTTTTGTGAAAAAATAAAGGTAATTATTTAAAAAATGTACCTAGCCATAAAATATACTCTACCATCTCCTATGAACAGATTTGGCAGTCCTTTTTGGAAGCCTAGGTGGGAAGTTCAGCTATTTCCAGCACCTCTGACTAAAGCACAGGTCTATCTGAGAATGACATCTTCCCTGAGTAGTCACAACTTTGTTGTTGTTAGGTGCTGTCAAGTCAGTTCCAACTCACAGCAACCCTATGTTTTACATTACCCATGGGAGCTCTGGTAGAAACTATTTATGGAAATGGAATTATGAGGATACCTCTCCCTGGAATGAGCTGTGTGGATTCAGGATGTATTACTCCCTTACACTGCCCGATCCTGAGTCATCCTCACAATTGTTGTTATGCTTGAGCCCATTGCTGCAGACATGGTCAATCCACCTCGTTGAAGGTCTTCGTCTTTTTCGCTTACCATATACTTTACCAAGCATGATGTCCTTCTCCAGGGTGCCTCCTGATAACATGTTCAAAGATGTGAGATGAAGTCTCATCATCCTCACTTCTAAGGAGTATTCTGGCTTTACTTCTTCCAAGACAGATTTGTTCATTCTTTTGACTGTCCGTGGTATCAGTTTATGACTTTTTCACATTCTAAAGTTTTGCTAACCAGCACCCTAAAAGTCCAGAACTGTTACCTCAGTTTCACTATTTCACCCTTCTCATTTTGGGATGTGTTAATCATTCTGTACATTTTTGACACACAAAAATTTACATGAAAAATATCTAGCACACCCCATGCCCTGCTCACCAGCCCACTCCCAAGAGAATACAATGAAGCTATCAACTTTCTTTATACATTTGTATCACGTTTCATTTTACTGATATTTGAAGATTTTTTCTTTGAGAATTTTCTACTCCACTTTTTAATCCCCCTCCTTTACTCTAAAAAGTGGAAGGCCCACTCTTTCTTCAAATTTTAAGGATACTATATATATATTCTCAGTCCTCACATGTAAGCAAAACACAAAAACAAGGAATTAATTTAAAAATTCAGTTTTCTATCTCCAAGTGCTTTGCCAGAGGTGAATTACTGGAGCATAAATACCTACCATATCACAAATCACTGGGTATACTTGAATACTGGAATAACATGATAAACCATAAACTACCACTCATTAAATAGTTATAGCCAATTATTGTAATTGATGTCAATAAGTTGTATACCTATAAAAAGTTGAATTGGCAAAAGTTGTGTGATACATATATTTACAACAATGACAAAAAAAGGAGTAGCTGCTGAGACTGCTTAGTACAAAGAAAAACTTCATGGGATTTGGTTCCTTGGTTTGGAAGTTTAGGGTCCTGGTTTCACAGGACATCCCAGTTAATTGGCCTAATAACATGTTTAGTACCTCTGTTCTACCTCCTAGTTCCTTGCGAACTGCCTGGGGTCTTAAAAGCTTGCAGGCGGCCACCCAAGGCATGACAACTGGTCTCTTTGCCTGGAGCAACAGAGGAAGAAGAAGAATCAAGAATAGGAGGAGGATATGGAATGTGTGGCTAACTGCCTCCATGAACAACTGCCTCCTTTGCTATGAGATCAGAAGAAATGGATGGTGCCTGGCTACCATTACTAAACATTTTCACCAAGGATTCCATAGGAGAATTCTGATCAAAATGGGGATAATATAGAAGAGAATTTCAAACTCTCATGGACTCCAGACTTTCTGGAGACATGGAGCTGGATGAACCCCTGAAATTATTGCCCTGAGATGATCTGCAAAACTTAAACCAAAAATATCCCCTGAAGTCTTCTTAAAACCAAGGAACAGTTTTGTTAAACTAGTAAAAAATATCTGCCTTGAGCATTATGCTCTTTTGAGAACTATCTATATGGGACCAAAGTGACAACAGCAACTTGAAAGATCAGACAGGAACCTCAGTGGGCAGTGAGTCTATGTTAATGGGGAAGAACAACTCTGAAAAGGAAGGTGAGAATGGCTGCACAACTTGAAGAATGTAATCAATGTCCTGAATTTACATGTAGAAATAGCTGGATTGGTCTACGTTTTGCTGTGTATAGTCTCAACAACAATAATAAATTTTTTTTAAAAATTCAAAATGAATTAAGGACTAAAAAAAAAAAAAAATTACTTCCTGAGACTATGAAGATACAATTTGGCATCACACATCTTATAACCCAGGATGAATACTGTCAGATGAAGTAAAAATCTCATTATATTTAGCAATATACCTTATCATATGGCAAAAGGCCTTTCAAAGGAAAACAAAGAGTTGCAGGATCCAATTTCCATGAGTCAGAAATGGTGCATGAGTTATTTACAACTGGCAGAAGACTGCAGCGACCTGTATGTATCAAAAAAAAAGAAAAAATGTTTTTAAGTAAATGTGAACACAGCATGCCAGGTTCAGCACAGACAGTGTTTAAATATTTGTAGAGTGAATGAAGGATCAGGTAGACACAAGATGGAAGTTTGGGAGTTTTCCTTGATTATTTTTACTCCAGATGGTTAGGGACCAATTTATATAGGCCTTTCAAACTCAAAAATGTTTCCATTTTGTCCAAGTGTCTGGAGCAGGGGTCAGCAAATTACAATCCATGGGCCAAATCCTGCCAACCACCTGTTTTTGTAAAGTTTTATTGGAATACAGTTGTTTCTGCACTAAATGGCAGAGCTGAGTAGTTGCAAAAGACTGTATACCCACAAAGTTGAAAATATTTACTATATGGCGCTTTACAGAAAAAGTATGCAGACCCCTTGTCTAGGGTCAAGATAATTAACTATAGGCAGGATGCCCCAGAGGCCTCAGATGTAGCATATGAGGATCAGCTCATATACCCAACTGCCTAACAAATAGTGCTACTTAGGTGTCCCACAGGCATCTCAAACTGAACATGCCTGAAGTTGAACTCATCATTTTTCTTCTCAAACCTGTTTCACTTCCACAATCCATTACATGACATCATATCTACTCAGTTACAGAGGCTAGGAGCCTGAGAATTCTCTGCCTAGTTTATTTTTCTATTTCCAGTATCTAGAATAGCACCTGGTTCATAGGGCATTCAATATTTGATCAATGAATTAATAACGGTCTATATTATAAGACAGTTTGAGGCTACCATGACTTTTAGAAATAATTCATGAATACATGTGGGCATTGTAAAAATTTTCAAATCACATGCTTCCTTTCTCAAGAAAGTTCAGAGAATCTAATAAACCACAACAAAATGGAAAATAAAGAACAAAGGTGTGAATTAAAATGGGCTGAAGAAGCCTGGTACTCTCATGTACCATGGCCACACAGAGACAGGGTTGTTGAGACTTCAATTAACTAGAGATTCCATGGTACTTTACTAGCTGTATTAAAAAGTCTTCCTAATGACCAGAATAGCACTTTCTAGAATAGTTCTACTTGAAGCTCAGACCCAATCCAGGCAGCTACTTTTCCCTCCCTACATTCACCACACAAGGTACCTAAAAACAAGTGGAAGACTATTACTAGGCTCCTAGAAAGTTACTAAAATGACAAGCCACCAAGACATGTATAAGCTATCATCCTTCATCTTTAATAGTTAGATAACTATGGTGAGATTAATTACTTTTGTGTATGGCCTTTCTAGCCATGGTCTTGTAACTGCCACCCAGGTGACTGTGTGATAGGGTAATTGTGGCCTACCAAGGGGATCAGTCAGTTTTGCCTTAAAAGAGAAGCAATTCCAAAGCAGAGAGGAGGAACCCAACACCACCAAGGAAGGAGAGACCAGCAGGAGAGACCTAGTAGCAGAGATCTGGCAGCAGGAGATAGCATAGTGGGCTTCCCCCACCCATGGAGCGAGACCGCTGAGTGCCTTTGGGCAGAAACTGAAGGCCAGGGAGAGGCGTGCCTGAGAGCACGGTTGGGATGAGACTGTCCCGATGCAAGAACTGTATCTTTGAGTGTTCCTGAGCCTGAATTGTAACCTGTTACTTCCCTAATAAACCCCTTAATTGTAAGTATGGTCTGTGAGTTCTGTGTGGCCATTGCAATGAATTATCAAACCCAGCAGAGAAGTAGAGAGTGCTGTGGGTGGGACGGCTGGTGTCAGAGTTGGTACCGACGGCTGAGAGAGGAGGCGTGTCTGACCTCCACATAGAAATCACCCTTGGGCTGTACATCTTGGTTCTTGCTCCCCCAGCTACCCCTGAATTAAGTCAAGCTACACCACTATATCCTCTAGCTATCTGATGAAGCTATGTGTGTATTTTATTATATGACATAAACTGTCTCAGTGGAATAGCAGAGAAATTAAATACATCATAATGATTTAAAAATATATATTAAGGAAAATAGTGACTTCTTAAAAATCACACAAAAACAAATTACTATAACTATTTTTGATTAAATTTCAATTAAAAACTTTAGAAAATACAAAATTTACCCAGTGTGGAAGCTTTCCTTCAGGATACATTTTCCTGATCTCAGTGACTGCAAAATAAGCTGGTAATAAAAGAGGCATTTCTTTCCAAGCTATATGCTATAACCTGAAAAACTAAAGGCAATGTTATTACTCTCGACTAGTCCTGTATATGCAGCCCTGGTGGCACAGTGGTTAAGAGTTCAGTTCGGCTGCTAACCAAAAGTTCGGCAGTTCGAATCCACCAGCTGCTCCTTGGAAACCCTATGGAGCAGTTCTACTCTGTCCCATACGGTCGCTATGAGTCGGAATCAATTTAACAGAAACAAGTGTGCTTTTTTTTTAAGTCCTGTGTATAAGCCCTTTAAACACAACAATAACAACAACAAAAAGACTACTAAAAAGTGCAGATATTTCATGGATGCACTGATCTTAAACTATAGCATAAAGTAATTCATTCATATGTAGAGAATCTCCAAGAAAGAGTAATAAACAATAAAATGGATTACTGAGGGTTAGTAAATAGCCTTGAAATATGCCAAAAAAATTGGTAGACTTGGGAGTAGAGGAACAGATCAGAGTAACTATACTTGCAACATGAGCTACAAAGCATGGAGATCTTTTATGTGGTCCATTGGCTGGTGTCTTGTAATGGTTTGAAATACTTCAATACCTATACTGCTGTTTTCATAAATAAAAAATAAATTAATTAGTCTAAAATCTCTACTGAAATATACTAAAAGTGATTTTTGTAAAAATAAACAAATAGAACATTCCACAAACTACCAAAAGTTTAAACACAGGAAGTAAACAAAATTAGACTTTTTTGAGGTTAAGATCAATGTATTTCAAATGTTTAAATTACCTCTCTTGCTGCCAGAAGCTGCTGTACAACAGCTGAGCTCACTGTATTAGGAATTGTCAAGATTTTGTCCAAAATAACCTTTAAGAGATCTCGAACACCCTGATATAAGAGGAAAGACATAGATTAAAACTAAGTAACATCCCCTGTGCTAGTTCTAACATCAAAATATGCCCTAAGAGAGGGCTGACATGTTGTGGGGTTGTTAACCAATGTCATAAAACAATATGTGTACTACTGTTTCATGAGAAACTATTTGTTCTGTAAGCCTTCACCTGAAGTACAATTAAAAAAAAAAAAAAAGATATGCCCTAATACTGAAAATATGATTTATTTCCTCTGGCTGTTGTCAGGTGCTGTCAAGTCAGCCCAATCATGATGACCCCATGCACAACAAGATGAAACACTTCTCAATCCTATGCCATCCCCGTGATCAGCTGCAGACCAGACTGTTGTGATCCCCAGGGTTTTCATTGGCTGATTGTAGGAAGCAGATTGCCAGGCCTTTCTTCTTAGTCCATCTTAGTCTGAAAACTCTGCTGAAACTTGTTCAGCATCACAGCAACATGCAATCCAACAATGACGGATGGGTGGTGGCTACACATGAGGTGGGCCAGGAATCAACCCTGGGTCTCCCACATGGAAGGCAAGAATTCTACTGCTGAATACCAATGCCATTTACTTCCTAGCTGTGCTTAATTCAAAGGTTTCAGGATTATGCACTTAGGAAAAAAAGTTACCTTCAAGATCACACTTTTCATTTTTTCTAAATCAGAGTTAACATTTAAGTCTCTAACATCAACCTAAGAGCCATGTTCCAAAACAGAATTCTAAAGAATGTTATATAATATGGATGAATAAAGTCACTTAAAAATGAAAATTAAACTCTCTACACCCTTTGTTACTTTTCTTATGTTACAAAGGTCAAGAAAAACTTAATTTGTGCTTAAGGACAGAAATACATTTGAACAGGACTTGAAAATACTCTGGAAACATGGATAATAAGAAAAAATTTTCTGGCAGATGATCCTTTCTGCTCACTCTCTTTGGCATATTTTAACCTTATTCCCCCTTCTCAGCATCACATACCTTAATCCCTCAAGCTTATCCAATAAGGCTATTCTGTTAGTGGAATATCTCTACATATCTACTACCAGTTGCATTACTTCAGAGCAGAATCTGATATATAGAGAGAAAATTTCATTCAACATGCATATATTGACTATAAACTATGTGCTCAGTTTTGTAAAAAAGACAGACAAAACATATACATGAATTATAAATCGTCACACAAGTAAATGAGAAGTTAAAGGCCACATAGTAAACTGCTAAGAAATTAAAAGTATGATAAAGAGAAACAATTAGAAAAAGCCTCTTAGGATTTTGTGTTAAATCATGATTCAAATCAATAATTAACTATTAGTTCATTATCTGTAAAGTCATTTCAGATTAGAGAGAATGCGGAAGACATAAAGCTGCAGCTACTGAGTTGAGCTGTTTTATGAGAGACTAGTGGAGGGTGTATGCTGTTGTTTTTGTTGGAATGCAGAGTGCAGAAGACACTAGTTAAGGCAGGCACAGTCCAAGCAAGATCAAGGTAGGTGTGAAGCAGGACCTTGCTCCCTTCATCAGTGGATGCCTACGTCCCTTCTCAGTTTCCACATACCCCTGCTCTTGTGCTCTTTCAAGTGTCATATAAAAGGGATCCCAATATCATAACACCTGTGGCATGAAGGAAGACAGATTCTGCTTTGTGTCTTCCCTACTCATCATTAAAATACATTAGCCACCTGCATTTTTAAGAAAGAGGGAGGGGAAGAGAAGTTGTGAGAACCACTTTTAAGTCCCCTTAAGAAATATACAACAAAAAAAGATAGATTTCTAAAATGCTTCCACTTCATTTCTCTTACCTGAAAATGAGAAATATTCACTGAAATATTAATCATGTCTGAAAGAGATCACTTTTTATAATCAGAGAAAAATACCTTGTAATCCACTCCCCCTACTATTTTCCGAACCAGTTTAAATGTTAACGTCCAAAGCTGTGTCCTTTCCCATTCAAGAGTATCAGAGTTTATCAGGGATTCACAAACCATCCTACCAAAAAGGAATACCCAGTCTGGTTACAAACAAAATTTTAATACTCTGCGTACTATATTTGTGACAGCAAGTATTTTTCATGAAAGTGCATTATTACTCAAAGTTAATTTTAAAACTCTATGCATAGCATTTTACATTTTCTAGCTATATGAAAGATTAAACACAAAGCAGAACTATGAAATATTTATTACGTTATATTTTTACTAGGAAGAAACCTACCAAAGGCTATTGGTTAAACGTTTACCAGGAATATCAGCCTGTGGCAGATTGTGTATTTCCAAGACAGTGACAACAAGATTTTCCTTCCCACATGCTCTTCTCGAATGTGACACTGGCACTTCTCCCACAGGGGTAGGGGGGATGTCCATGTTCTTTCCTCTTAAATCTGGGCAGGCCTAAGACTGTGGCAAAAGTAATGATGTAGGACTTCCAAGGCAAAGTAATAAAAGGTGATTCTCCTTCCACCTAACCCTCTTTTTAATACTTCCTCTTGAATCCACCATGCTCTGAAGAAGTCCAGGCCACATGGAAAGGCCACGTGTAGTTTCCAGTTGAGAGTCCTAGCTGCAGTCCCAGATGACAATCAGGCATCAACCACCAGATGTATGAGTGGGGAAGCCTTCATTACAACTCCAGCTATAGCCACAATCTGATTGCAATCAGTAAGAAATCCCGACCAAAAAACTGTCTACTAAGCACAGTCAACCACCATAACCATTAAAGATAATAATAAAGTGATTGCTATTGTTTAAAGCCAGGAAGTGTTGGGGTAATTCATTATTCAGCTAAAGAAACTGGAACAAGCTCATCAAAGTGAGTGATCTCAGCCCCTCAGCTGAAAGGTAGAGCCTGTCTGGTTTTCAGCTTATAAGTATATAATTCTAAGAATATTGCATCGTAGAAACTAAAACCTAAACTATTATGAAGAATTATCTGATGAGTTTAATTTCCTTCCTCATTTCATCCTTTTATAACTTCAACCTCAACCAATTTTTAAACATTCATATACCGTAAAACTCTTTGGATTGCTTGTACTCACCATTAAACATACCTGGGTGGAAGAAGACCAGTCTCGACTGCCATTGCTAAGCAGTCATACAGAAAAATTCTTTTAGGACTATGCTGACCATGAACGAATTCAAGAATCCACCGGATGCACTGTTCATGAGACTCCTGGAAAATTAGAAAATGATTATATTTGGGATCAAATGTTATATTTGGTTCTAACAAATGGCTAATACTATACCTGAGAGCACATAAAGACTATAAATTAAACGCTCTATCATGAGCATCAGGGGGTGATAATAACTTTTAAAAATGCAAAATGAAAAAATTCAGATTTGGTATTTCATTTATATTAAGCTTACACTCTTACAATTATATAGGTTAAAATTGCACCGTTTTTATTACATGGGACTTTGGAATGCCTTATAAGTAGTAAGATTTTATTAACATATTCACAGACAATAGAAAAGTATAACACAGATTGTATAAATAAGTTGAAAGAAAATGCAATGAACTACTTTTTCAGAAACTCCTGATTTTTTTTTTTTTTTTAATATGCTGTTTTCGTGGATGGTACTGGAGTTTGTTAGAATATCTGAAAGACAGAACACACCCTGTGAAAGTATATAGGAAGCTAAAGTAAAGTGCTCTAGAATGGAAGGAAGATTGCCTTCCAAAAGTCAAAACTGGTAAAAACCCATACAATGGATGAGAGTACTTATCTGCAGATAGCACTTTTGGAAGTAGCTGCCTGGAAGTTAAATCAAGCTTTGAATGTGAAAGCAAAGTGGAACTTATTTAGTAGTACCAATAAAATCTCTATGAACAGAAAGTGGTGGTCTTCTGTGGAGAAGAATTTGACTGAATGATGGCAAGCAGGAGATGACTCGAACAACAAAAGATCCATTTTGCAGGAGGAAGGAAACTCAAAAGCATCTCATGCTTTTTGAGCTAGTCAACACTCTGGTTGTAAATTTGGTTTTCTAGATACTCCGAGATGGAAGAAGATGTCTTAATGACAGATATAAATATTCCTGTCACTGGGGGAAAATATCCATCGGGGTTAGTACATCAGCCTCATGAGGATTTACAGCGAATTGAATCCCTAAGAGCCCCATCAGTTATGAATCCAATGATGTATCAAATTTCTAGACTTGCAAAGCACTAAATCCACCCTAAAATGTTATCTGCCCATACCAATATTTGTCTCCTGGGACACTCCCAGGAAGCCAATACATCCTGCTCCTCTGCACTACCACTGTCCCTCATACATGCTTGCACTACTGCATGTCTAACACTGATTTCAAAATATTTATCTACTTCTCAATACCTCGTTTAGAATGTAAATTTCTTGAAAACAGCCATACTTTAACTCACAGAATGTGTGTTTTAAACATAATTTTGTGTGTGTGTGTGTGTGTGTACTTTGGGTAAAAGTTTACAGAGCAAATTAGTTTCTCATTCAACAGTTTATAAACAAATTGATTTGTGACATTGGCTGCAAGCCCTGTGATGTGTCAACACTCTCCCCTTTTCCACCCCGGGTTCCCCATTTCCATTTGTCTCATTTTCCTGTCTCTTCTTGCCTTCTTGTCTTTGCTTTTGGGCAAGAGTTGCACATTCGGTCTCATTTGCATGACTGAGCAAAGTTTGTTCCTCACGGGTGTTACTGTTCGTTTTATAGACCTGTGTAATCTTTGGCTGAAGAGTGAACTTCGGGAGTGACTCCAGTTCTGAGTTAAAAGGGTGTCTAGGGCCCACAGCGTCCAGGTTCCTTCTGTCTCTGTCAGACAATAAGTCTGGTCTTCTTTTGTGAATCTGAATTTTGTTCTATATTTTTCTCCCGCTCTGTCCGGGATCCTCACTGTGATCCCTACCACAGAGGTTGGTGCTGGTAGCCTGGCGCCATCTAGTTCTTCTGGGCTCACGCTTGTGGAGGCTGTGGTAATTGTGTGGTCCATGACTCCTTTGGACTAACATTTCCCATCTGTTTTTGGTATTCTTCATTCTCCTTTGCTCCGGGCGGGATGGGATGAGTAGATTATCTTAGATGGCTGCATGCAAGTTTTTAAGACCCCAGATGCTACTCATGAAAGCTGGATGTAGAACATTTTCTTTATGAACCATGTTATGCCAACTGACCTAGATGTCCCCTGAGAATATGGTCTCCAGCCCCAGCCCAGTAACGCACTCCCTCAGCATCATAGAACATTTAATGAATTAATTTAAAATGCTGACAAGATGTCCAACTTCACTCAGAGAAATGCAAAATAAGACTATACTGAGATTAAACTTTTCACTTTTTAAGATTGGAAAATACCAAGTTTATTAACACTCTATTACAACACTAAACGAAATAGACAGGGCTATGGATTGAACTGTGTCCCCCCAAAATATGTGTTGGAATCCTAACCCAGACACTTGTGTCTGGAAAGCAAGGTGGTAATTAACAGTGTATATAGTATGAGACCATTCTATAAAATGATTCTATATGCATAAAATACTAAACAGAGGACAGTGACTGCAGAAAGGAAAAAGAACAGGGGTTTAAGAGAGACGAGAAGAAACTATTCTTTGGAGCTACCCTTTTCTACCTTTGTTATTTTGAACCACATGCATGTACTATTGATTAAAAGATAATTAAAACCAAAAAAAAAAAAAATAAAGTACTGCCACCACGTGATCTATGTCTGAGTGGTATGTTTTACCACCAGTAGCTTAACTGCCAACAGTTCTCGTTTCCCTACCTATAATGTACTACTCCAACATGAGCTCTTTAAATATCACACATTTTGTCTTTTTCATGGATACACTTTCTGGTGAATGTTTTTTGTTACTAAGTCTTACTGCTCTTTTCCCCATTTTTTATTATAATATCTTTGTATCCTTATTACAATTTTTTCATATCCATAGTGTAGTCTTTGTATCTTTACTACAGTATTACTGTATCTTTATTAGAGTGTCTTTGTTTCAATACTGTGCCAGTTCCTTTCATCTGTAAATGAATGAAATTTTTAGTCTTTAGAATGCCTAACACAGCTGTTTGCAAGTGCACCAAATAAATCAGAATAGGATGAAAATGTCTTATATAATCTAACATAGGGTTTTTTTTAAACATCAAATAAAAACATCTAACACTGTGCTGTAATCAACATGACTTCTCAACACAGGTTTCCACCAGGAAGACACAAATTAACACAAATGGAAACTAAAATAAACAAGAGAAAAAAAATGATGACAATTTTGTCTTTCCAGGAAACACCTGACAGTAACATCAAAGTAAATGTAAAAAAAAAAAAAGGGGGGGGGACTTAAATTATCAGCCAAATATATTAAAAATGCAGTACTCACCTGAGAAAGACCAGCCCAAAACTGTCCGAAGGCCCCCAAACAGCTGATAAGTTTTGTTTTTTCATCTTCACGGGTATCCATAAACATGCTAAAAACCAAAACAAACAAACTAAACTAAAATTATATTATTTGCCACTAGCTTTAAAAAGTCAATACAACATAACTTGAACAGTCGATTTTATAGACCCCCAAGAAAATCCTACGTCTTACAAAGATACTGTCACGTAAAAACATAAAAATCTGCCAGGCATTATACCCACCCAGGGAAAGCCTCTTCTATAATTTCCATTTTATGTAAAATAATTTCAAAAACCCACGTAAATGAATTAAAAATGGGGGAGGGCGTACCCCTAACGACGTAGAACAAGTCATCTCAATTAGCAACATGCAGAAACTACCACCACCTGCCTAGCCTGTCACAAGAGAGCTGTGGATTTCAAAGAAGTCCCTGAATTTGACAACGGCTTGAGAATCACCAAACCCCAGCACACAGACTCCGTGGCACAACAAAGGGGCAAGAGGAGGCTGCCCAGGCCGAGCTAACTAAGCCACTGCCTCCGCTTCTCCCGCAGCATCGCCCTGGATCCAGAGTAGTTCCACTCACCACCACCTCCTCAAAAATGCTCTGCAGTTGTGTCTCCATCTGCACCATCGCCCCCACCTTCCTGGGGGTCCCGGCGCGCCTCGGGTCAGGCCCGGGCTTCGGGAATTGAGGGCCAGAGCGGCGGAGCCGCCCGGAGGAAACCGCAGCTCACCCGGGTGGCTTTCCTCTCGCCAAGCACTGAACAAAAACATCTCCTCAAGACCTCAGCAAATAACTGCACGGAAGCCCGGAAAGCCTGCGTACGCGCCGATTACAGAACCCCCCGGAAACCAGGAGGCCCGCCAGATAGTTCCGCTTGTAGAGAAGGGGCGCCCGCGAGACGGACGAGGGCGCTCTCAAGCGGAAACTCGAGCCCAGGAAGCGTCGTAGGCAGCAGGCCGCCACCTCCCGGCTGGAACGGGAGTTGCCTCCTCTTCAGGGCTAAAACTGTTACAGACTGGGAAGAAAAAGGCATAGAGCCTAGGGGCTGCAGCCTGCGGGAACCACCTCCTGCCACAGCCTGGACCAACCAGCTCTGTGAGCAGCTGACCTTCTGGTGCAGCCTGGACCCATGAGTTGAAACTACACTTCTCTTAACAATAGGTACCATGACTTTTTAACTATGGTAACCCAGGTGGCCTAGCATAGTGCCAGACACATAGAAGTCTTTCAACGAATATTGGGGGAAAAAATGTATGCATCACTATTAAATTTTAATTAGAACCATCGAATAATAAAATCTACCTTTTTAGTTATAATCCTCTAATAATAATAATATTTACGATTAACTGAGTACTGATACCACTATACCAAAAAGAATTGGTCGATGTTCAACCATTTTAGGAGGTAGCATATAATCAGGAACCGATGGTATGAAGGAAGAGGTCCAAGTTGCACTGAAGGCACTGGGAAAAGACAAGGCTCCAGGAATTGACAGAATACCAACTGAGATGTTTCAACAAATGGATGCAGCCCTGAAAGCACTCACTTGTCTATTCCAAGAAATTTGGAAGACAGTTACCTGGTCAATTGACTGGAAGAGTTCCATATTTATGCCTATTCCAAAGAAAGGTGATCCAACAGGAATGTGGAAATTATGGAACAATATCATTAATATCATCTATTAAAAAACCCATTGCCACTGAGTCGATTCCAACTTATAGCAACCCTATAGGAGAGAGTAGAACTGCCCCATAGGGTTTCCAAGGAGCGCCTGGTGGATTCGAATTGCTGACCTACTGCTGACCTTTTGGTTAGCAGTCAAACTCTTAACCACTACACCACGAGGGTTTCCATTATATCACACAAGTAAAAGTTTGCTGAAGATCATTCAGAAGTGTCTGCAGTAGTATATCAACAGGGAACTGCCAGAAATTCAAGTCAGATTCAGAAGAGGATGTGGAACCAGTGATGTCATTGCTGATGTCAGATGGATCCTGGCTGAAAACAGACAATACAAAAAAGATGTTCACCTGTGTTTTATTAACTATGCAAAGGCATTCAACTGTGTGGATCATAACAAATTATGGATAACATTGGGAATAATGGGAATTCCAGAGTACTTAATAGTGCTCACAAGGAACCTGTACATAGATCAAGAGGCAGTAGTTTGAACAGAACTAGGGGATACTTCATGGCTTAAAGTTAGGAAAGGTGTTTGTCAGGATTGTATCATTTCACCATACTTATTCAATCTGTATGCTGAGCAAATAATCTAAGAAGCGGGACTATATGAAGAAGAAAGGGGCATCAGGATTGGAGGAAGATTCATTAACAACATGCGATATGCGGGTGACACAACCTTGCTTGCTGAAAGTGGGGAGGATTTAAAGCACTTATGATGAACATCAAAGACTACAGCCTTCAGTATGGGTTACACCTCAACATAAAGAAAACTAAAATCTTCACAATGGGACCAATAAGCAACATCATGATAAATGGAGAAAATATTGAAGTTGTCAAGGATTTCATTTTACTTGGATCCACAATCAACACTCGTGGAAGCAGCAGTCAGGAAATCAAATGACACATTGCATTGGGCAAATCTGCTGCAAAAGACCTCTTTAAAGTGTTAAAAAGCGAAGATGTTACCCTGAAGACTAAGGTGCACCTGACTCAAGCCATGGTCTTTTCAGTCGCCTCATATGCACGCAAAAGCTGGACAATAAATAAGACCAAAGAAGAATTGATGCCTTTAAATTATGCTGTTAGCGAAGAATATTGAATATACCATGGACTGCCAAAAGAATGAACAAATCTGTCTTGGAAGAAGTACGGCCAGAATGCTTCTTGGAAGCCAGAATGGGAAGACTACGTCTCACGTAGTATCTTAGTTATCTAATGCTGCTATAACAGAAATACCACAAGTGGATGACTTTAACAAAGAGAAATTTATTCTCTCACAGTCTATGAGGCTAGAAGTCCAAATTCAGGGTGCCAACTCCAGGGTAAGGCTTTCTCTCTCTGTCGGCTCTGGAGGAAGGTCCTTATCATCAATCTTCCCCTTGTCTAGGAGCTTCTTTGCGCAGGAAACTTTGATCCAAAGGATGCGCTCTGCTCCCGGTGCTACTTTCTTGGTGGTAAGAGGTTCGTCCTCTCTTCACTTCCCTCACCTTTGCTCTATCGCAAGATAAAAGGTTGTGCAGTTGACACCCCAGGGAAACTTCGCTTACATTGGATCAGGGATTTGACCTGAGCAAGGGTGTTAACATCCCACCCTAATCCTCCTTAACGCAATCTAATTTGGCTTCATTAACCACAGGCAGAGATTAGAATTTACAACACATAGGAAAATCACATCGGATGACAAAATGGTAGACAATCACATAATACTGGGAATCATGGCCTAGCCAAATTGATACACATATTTTTGGGGGACACAGTTCAATCCATGACACATACTTTGGACATGTTTTCAGGAGGGATCAGTCCCTGGAGAAGGACATCATGCTTAGTAAAGTAGAGGGTCAGCGAAAAAGAGGAGGAATCTCAAATAAGATGGACCGACACAGTGGTGCAACAATGGGCTCAAGCATAACATCGACTGTGAAGATGGTGCAGGACTGGGCAGTGTTTTGTTTTATTGTATATAGGGTCACTATGAGTCGGAATGAACTCAACAACACCTAACAACAACATACCTTTTTAGGAACCTTGGTGGCACAGTGGTTAAGTGATCGGCTGCTAATCAAAATGTTGGCAGTTGGAATCTACTGGTGCTCCTTGGAAACCCTATGGGGCAGTTCTATTCTGTCCTATAGGGTCGCTATGAGTCGGAATCACTCAATGGCAACAGGTTTGGTTTGGTTTATACCTTTTTAGGAGCCCTGGTGGTGCAGTGGTTAAAGCACTCAGCTGCTAAATGAACTGTTGGCTTTGGAACCAAACACACGCTGTGTGGAAGAAAGATGCAGCAGTCTGCTTCCGTAAAGATTTACATAGCCTTGGGAACCCTCGGGCACTTCTACCCTGTCCTGTAGCATTGCTATGCGTCTGGATCGACTTAATAACAACGGATTTGGTTTGGTTTTGTATGTTTTTGGTTAGGGTAGGGGTGGAGAAGGATGGCAAAGAGACAGGTTGATCCACTGATGTGGGGGGAATAGATGGTAAGTATATTGAGTTGTTTGAGTTGTGTGCCCCGCACTGCTTTACTGCTTTATTCCTTCAACTATCAATTTGAACTTTACACATTCTTGTTTTTTTTTTAAGTAAAACACAATGAAAGGCTTTATTTGGCATATATTCAAAGAAGCAAAAGTAGGAAAGGGACATGCATGTTGCTAGAGCCATGTCTGTCTGAGTCTGAGGGACGTTACAGAATCATCAGTAGGTATTAACATTACAAATGGGCAAAACCATTGAAAGCTTCACCTTTTCACAGATTGGCTAGAAACTGCTAAATCACTGTGATTCTACATTTTGAATTGTCTTTCTTAATAATCATTGATACAGGTTTCAGTAATGACAGTCAGGAGGATCTTCATTGGTCCAACAAATCTTAGTAGTCACTAAATGTTCATAGAAAAAAATAAAAGAGTGGAAAGTCTTTTGTGCTCTGTTTTATTAGTTTATTTGAAATGTTCTGTAAAAGATGTTTTCCAAGATTGTCCTCAGTATTGTCTTTATTTCTCAGGGCCCAGTTGATGTGTCTTTGTGAGTCCTTGTGGGTCCTTGTGAGTCCAGCTCCAACGGGGTAACATTCTTATGCTCAAGGGCCAGGAGTAATGGCTCCAGTATTGTCTCCTAAGTTATTCCCTCCTTTTGAATAGAGATTGGAGATAACTCATTGAAGATCAATATTTGAACTTTGTTGAGCTCCTAGATGGTGACCATGGCAGGCTGTTTAAATTCACGGTGCTGGTTTTCCATTGGATACCATCTGGTTCTTCACCAGGATCTTAAGTACGAGCAATTCAATTGCATTACCAAAAAGAGAAGACTCAATGTACATAAACATTTTAGCCCGAGGCCTTCTTTTGCCTTTTAAGTGTGTATCACAGTAGAAGATAAGTTTTATTATACCGAATACTATCAGGATGCAGACTAAGAATTCCTGCAGTATTCCTTGCAATAGTGATCTAGCCCACGTACTTATTCCTGATGGTAACCAACCAAATAAATCTGGAGTTTGAAAGGG